ACGTACACGGCTGTGGGGCCCAGTTACTCCACCTCCGTCCTCAACTGCCTGAAGGTACCGGGGTGGGGGGCACCCCAATATCCCCAGGGTGATGCCCCACTGGCACCCAGCACCCAGCACTGCTGGGGCTTGGCCTGGGGAGGCTGCAGGGAATGGGGGCTGCTGGGCATTACTGGGCTTCACTGGGCATCTCTGGGCATTGCTGGGCTTCACTGAGCATCACTGGGCATTGCTGGGCATTACTGGGCTTCACTGGGCATTATTGGGTGTTGCTGGGCAACACTGGGCATCACTGGGCACCACTGGGCATTGCTTGGGCACTGCTGGGCTTCACTGGGCATTGCTGGGCATTACTGGGCTTCACTGGGCATTATTGGGTGTTGCTGGGCAACACTGGGCATCACTGGGCACCACTGGGCATTGCTTGGGCACTGCTGGGCTTCACTGGGCATTGCTGGGCATTGCTGGGCATCACTGGGTGTTGCTGGGTGTCACTGGGCCCTGGGCTCGCCCTGGTGTCACCCCCGTGTCCCCCCCAGAGCCTGGACCTGTGGTGCTTCGACGTCTTCGCACTGAACCGGGTGACGGAGGAGCACTCCCTGCGCACCATCGTCTACGAGCTCTTCACCCGACACAACCTCAACAGCCGCTTCAAGGTGTGCGCCCCCGCCCCTGCGCACCCATGGGTGCTCCCAGGGGGAGGTGTTTTGGCACCCACGACCCCCGTGCTGTTGCTGTAGATCCCCGCCGCCTTCCTGACCATGCTGCTGGACGCGCTGGAGACCGGCTACGGGAAATACCGCAACCCCTACCACAACCAGGTCCACGCTGCCGACGTCACCCAGACCGTGCACTGCTTCCTGCTCCGCACTGGGATGGTGGTATGGGGACACGGAGGGACACTGGGGGGACTGGGTGTGGGTGGGCATCGCTGGGCATTACTGGGAGTCACTGGGCATTGCTGGGAATCATTGGGGATTACTGGGAGTCACTGGGTGTCACTGGGCATTGCTGGATGTTACTGGGCATCATTGGGCATCACTGGGATTCACTGGACATCATTGGGGTTCACTGGGCATCACTGGACTTTGCTGGGAGTCACTGGGCATTGCTGGGAATCATTGGGCATTACTGGGAGTCACTGGGAGTCACTGGAGTCGCTGGGCATTGCTGGGCATCACTGGGCTTAACTGGGCATCACTGGGCATCGCTGGGCATTGGTGGAATTTACTGGGCATCATTGTGCATCACTGGGCTTAACTGGGAGACACTGGGCTTAACTGGGCATTGCTGGGCATCACTGGGCATTTCCAGGCTTCACTGGGCTTCGCTGGGCATCACTGGGAATCACTGGGCATCACTGGGAGTCACTGGGCATCGCTGGGCTGCACTGGGCATCACTGGGTGTTGCTGGGCACTGCTGGGCTTCACTGGGGTACAGGGGCACAGAGGGTCCCTAGGGGGGTGCACAGGGGTCCTGGGTTGTGTCTGGGCCCTGGTGCCCAGTGCTGGTCCAGCTGGTCCAAGTGATGCTTGTTGCCATGGAGACGGGGCTATCACCATGGAAACATCACCAGGGTGATGGGGGGGACAGAGTGGCCCCGGTTTTGGGGGACAGGTGGGCACACGTGGGTGGCACCTGCCATGCGTGTGGCTGTCACACACATGTGCACACCAGTGGCGTGTCCACACGTGGCCGTGCACACGTGGAGCCACACGTGGTGGTGCAAATACACACACACAGAGGACCCTGCACCCGTGTGTCCCCATGCTCCTCATGGGGTGACACCGGGTAACGCCATGGCCGTCCCCGTCACCCTGACACCCATGTCCCCGTCCCCAGCACTACCTGACGGAGATCGAGGTCCTGGCCATCATCTTCGCTGCCGCCATCCATGACTATGAGCACACGGGCACCACCAACAGCTTCCACATCCAGACCAAGTGAGGGCGGATGACATGGCATGGCATGGGTGACACGGCATGGCACGGGTGACACGGCACGGTGCAAGTGGCATGTCATGGTGCAGGTGACATGGCATGGCACGGGTGGCGTGACGCAGTGCAGGTGGCATGACGTGATGCAAGTGCATGGCATGGCACGGGTGACATGGCACGGTATGGGTGACACGGCACGGGTGACATGGTATATGTGACATGGCATGGTCCGGGTGACATGGCACAGGTGGCATGGCACAGCACAGACAGAGCAGGCAGGGTTGGGGACCTGTTTTGAGGACATGGGACACTGTGGAGCATGGAAAGGACCGAGTGGCACCTTGGGGACACCCAGTGCCACCGATATCAGGATACAGCCATGCTGGCATCCTGGGGACACCCAATGCCACTGATATGGCCAGGATACAGATGTGGTGTCATCCTGGGGACACCAATATGGCCAGGATACAGATGTGCTGTCGACTTGGGGACACTGATATGACCAGGATACAGCCATGCTGGCACCTTGAGGACACCCAGTGCCACCAATATCACCAGGATACAGATGTGCTGCCATCTTGGGGACACTGATATGACCAGGATACAAATGTGCTTGCATCCTGGGGACACCCAGGGCCACTGATAGGGCCAAGATACAGATGTGCTGTCACCTTAGGGACACCAATATGGCCAGGATACAGCCATGCTGGCAGCCTGGGGACATCCCTCTCCCCATCTCCTGTCCCCTGCTGTATGAGGGTCCCAGTGTCCCCTCCGTCCCCAGGTCGGACTGCGCCATTCTCTACAACGACCGCTCGGTGCTGGAGAACCACCACATCAGCGCCGTCTTCCGCATGATGCAGGACGACGAGATGAACATCTTCGTCAACCTCACCAAGGACGAGTTCGCGTAAGGTCCCTGTCCTTGTCCCCAACCCCAGGACTGTCCCCAGCTCGGACAGGGGATCCTGACTCCCTTTTTTCCACCCCCCCAAACCCAGGGAGCTGCGAGCGCTGGTGATCGAGATGGTCCTGGCCACCGACATGTCCTGCCACTTCCAACAAGTCAAGTCCATGAAGACATCCCTGCAGCAGCTGGAGAGGTGGGAGCTGGGGTCCCGGGGGGTGTCCCTGTGGTGGGGACGGTGACAAAGTGCTCCAATGTCCCCTCCTCAGGATTGACAAGTCCAAGGTGCTGTCCCTGCTGCTACACGCGGCCGACATCAGCCACCCCACCAAGCAGTGGACGGTGCACAGCCGCTGGACCAAGGCGCTGATGGAGGAGTTCTTCAGGCAGGTAGGGTGACCACGGCCGTGGGGACATGGGGACAGCCCCTTGGGGACAACCCCTTGGGGGTGACATCTGTCCGTTGCCTTTTGGCAGGGGGACAAGGAGGCTGAGCTGGGGTTGCCCTTCTCGCCCCTCTGTGACCGCACCTCCACGCTGGTGGCACAGTCCCAGATTGGTGAGTGGTGGTGGTGGGGGGTCCCCATCCACACCATGGGCAGGGGGGGGGGG